AAGCACTGCTAGGTTCATTTTATCCGTGAGGGAAATGTGACTATAACAGAAATAAGGATTTCCCCAGGTCTTGCTAGAGTGAAAGTTGGCAAGCAAAGCCAAGAAGCAGGAGCCCAGTGACTGGGAGGGCTGGTGGCCACAGCACAGGGAATGTTGGCCAGTGGCTGTGCCAGGTGTTTCCAGCAAGGCCAGGCAGAGATCTGCTGCAGGTGGCTGTGGGCACTTGGCGTGGCTGGAGGCAGAGAGTCCCCTTTGTGAGTCCTGGACCTTTTTTGGTGCTAAGAGGAGAGGTTCTCCCCTGGCTTCCCAGGGGATGGGCTGTTGATCAGCTGAGCTCTGTAGACAGAGCCAAGACAGGGTGCCTCACGAGCATCAGAAAATTGGGTAACTCCTGCCTGAGTTCTGCCAGGGTATCCCAGAACAGGGTGGTTTCCCTTTCCAGCCCTGTGACACAAGGTCATGAGCAAATGTCTCAGAATGGTGAGTAGTAGACCAGAGCAGCGTGTGATACAAGAAGTAGACATTACTGATGACTTTACTAAACAGCCTTGGTCCACACCCAAACATCCTCACCCCTTGGATTTTTGGGTACCAAAGTACTTCTATGGGCAAGCTCGTGGGTTTGATCCACTGCCTCCTCTAGGGAGTTACTTCAGAGTTTGTTCCTTATAGTAATAAAGGCAGCTCAGAGGGGACCTTATCACCATGTTCCAGTACTTAAAGGGTGGCTACAAAGAAGATGGAGACTCCCTTTTTCTAAGGGAAGGGGTAATGAGCACAAGTTACTCCTGGGGAGAGTCTTGGGATGCAAGAAGATTTTTCACAATGAGAACAGAGATTGGCATAATCTCCCCAGGGCAGTGGTGGAGTCCCTAATACTGGACACTCTGAAGATCCAGCTGGACAGGGTGCTGGGCCATCTTGTCTAGACTGTGCTTTTCCCCTGAAAGATTGGACCAGATGATCCTTGAGGTCCCTTCCAACCTGGTATTCTATGATTCTGTGATTAGTAAGTGTCTAGTTTCTAATGAGACTGTATTACTTGATTTGCAGGTGGTAGTGCTACGACCTGTGACTGATTTCTACTCATAGACAAACTTCTGTTCTTGTCTGCTCCTTTTCCTCTAACACCTCTCTGTCCACTTTCTGCTCACATGTCCCACCAGCCCCACACACCTCCCTGCGTGGTGCCCAGGGGCTGTGGAGGTCCCACACACACCCACCCCTTGGGTGGTACTCAGCTGCCAGGCTGGGAGCCCCGTGTGGGCACAGAGCTGCCATACCTGCCTGAATTCCACACCAAGTGTGACGAGCAGCTCCTTCCCTTGTCCAGGTGCAGAGCAGCCCAGCATCCAGCCTGGGCTCTGCCCCTCCTGCCACCACCACGCTTGGCTTCCCACCCTCGGCGCGGCGTTGGCACCACCCCCATGCCAGGGGGGGCTGTATTCCTCCGTGGCACTGTTGTGGCCTGTGTCACCCTAACTGCTGGTGTGCAGAGGGCTCCTCAGCAGGGGCTGGCAGCTGCCTGTGGTGAGGATGCCAGGGAAACGCTGCCACGAGGGAGAAGTGGGGAGCAAACCAAAGGAGAAGCTGGGCAGGGGAACCTCGCGTCAGGGCCCCTGGGGGCTGGCTGGCAGGGGCAGGGCTGAGGGCTGGCTGGCTCCTGGCACTGCTCCTTTCCCTTCCTGTGATGCCCATGGATGACTTATGGCAAGATAACAGCTGCCGTTCAGGGTGGGACTGGAGAGGGGCTGATGGGCATGTAGAAGTGAAAAGATTTCCTAAGTCTAAACAGCATCCTATAGGAAAGCGTGGAGTCACAGAATCTCAGCATGGTGGGGTTGGCAGGGACCTCTGGAGAACTTCTCCTCCAACCCCCCTGCTCCAGCAGCTCACCCACAGCAGGGTGCCCAGGGTCACATCCAGGCAGGTTTGGGATCTCTCCAGAGCAGGAGACTCCACAGCCTCTCTGGGCAGCTGCTCCAGGCTCTGCCACCCTCACAGCAAAGAAGTTTCTCCTGCTGGTCAGGTGGAACCTCTTGGGTTCCAGTTTGTGCCCATGTCCTGTCACTGGCCAAGTCCAGGGAGTAGAGGTGTCATGGGACCATGAGGAAGAGGTAGGAGGAGAAAAATCAAGAGCTGAGCTGCACCCTGCTGAGCAGGGATATAGTTTGGGTGGTTTGGCTGGGAAGAGGGAGAGACGTGGAATCAGAGGAGGGCAGTGGCTTGGTCCCAGGACCCAGAGGCAGAAGAGGCTTTTCAGAAGCAGACTCTGTATTGTTTCTTTTGAAGAAATGAAAGAGAAAGAGTAGCCTGAGGTGCAGAATTTGAGATCTAGAGGTGCAGTATTGGATTTGGGGGGGTGCAAAGTTCACTTTGGCCATGTAACCTTGTTGTCTTTATCTTTGGGATAATTTAACTGAAAGGTCATATGATATTTGATCTCTTACTGCAGCAATTTCTTTCACTCCCAATATCATATTTATCCCCAAGTAGAAAAATGGCATGCTGTTCTCAACAAGCCAGGATTAGCCACGTGTCCTAATATACTTCAGCACTGGATAAATGTTGAACAGCAAATTGCTTTGAGGGATTAGTAGTCGGATAGCAAGCCTGTAGCTTTTAGGTGAGTTGTTTGAAATGGAGACTCTGGTCTCTGTCTGGCTCTTGGTGGACAAGTTTCCAGTGAGCCAGGCTGAGCAGATAAAGCTGCAAGCACAGGGACCAAGTCCCACCTTCTTAGCTCTGCTTATTCTCTCTGAACAGAAATGGAAGAATACTGGTGGAGTGGGGGAGCATAGGGTTGGCTTCACTTCTTTCACTGACCTCTGAGTAACAGAGGAGCTTGACAGCTCTGGGAATAAAGGGAGAATGTGGCACTTGGCAGCTGTGTTTTAAGGAAGAGACCTGGATTTTCACAGCAGCCCTCATGGAGAAGGAGGGAAAGAATGCCTGTTCAGGTTACTCTCACATCTTGGTGGATGCATATATTTAATTACACATTCAGACTAAGGCATATTAATAAAGAAAAAGTGTTAATTTATTTTGGAAATTTTTTTTTGGCTTCACTGAAAAACCTGATCTAGAAATGAGGTACAGAGCTCTTGAAAAGTGGCAACTTTCCTGGAAATTGAGGTTTTTATGTTGCTACCACCACAGTGGTATTTGAGGACCTGCTGTTGCAGAGAGGTAGAAAAAAGTAAAGCAGATGATGACATTTCTCTTTCCTTCTGTCCCTCACAGCCCTAACACACATGCACACAGTCTGGATTTAGTTCAACACACAAGGCTCCTTTCAACTTCCTTATTATCCCCAAACGAAAACTTGCCCAGCAGAAATTCCTCTTCCTGTGCACAGCACCAGGCACCTTCTTTCCACTTAGTGAGGAATTTATAGAACTTGTGACAAAGAGTTAAAGGTCTTTGCTGATAGAGGTGGAGAAAAGAGATTCCAGAAGCAGAACTGTAGAAGAAACTACTCTCTCATACCATAAAGACATTTTACTCTGAGTTATCTCCAGTACTACCTAATAGGTCTCCAAGACTTTCAGCAAATGATGACCTCTAATGTAAGATCTGTGACTGCCAGGAAGTCTTTGGAGCTGGGTGGTATCTGCAGCAAGCTGGCAGATAAAGAACAAAGAGTGTGACCACAGCAGGGAGAGCAGTGTGGCAGCCAGGAGCAGCAGCTGCCCCCGGCATCCTTCCAGCAGACGTTCTGCTCTCCAGCAAAAGTGAGTGTTCCAGAGGACTCCAGCAGATCTCCTTGCCCAGGGATCTGATTTTTGCAATGCTGGAAAGAAAATCCAGCACTTTGAAACTTGCCCATGTACTGTTCTTAAAGAATGAAGTTACCTTTTTATTTTTGGAAACGTGGCTTGAATATCTTTGGACTATTATATTGCAATGCAGATAATCCCACTCCTTTGATGCATAAGATCTTGAGATTTGTAGCATCAAAATTTCATTGCCATTTGGAGTTGGACACTGCAGAGGAGAGGGGCACTGCAGGTACTTGCTCTCATTGTCCAACAGGTTGTTTTTAAGCAAGGGCTAAGGTTGTAAAAGAGCAGACATCCAAATTCATCAGTGATCTGCATTTCACACGGGACCTGCTGTTCACAAGGTTCTGAAAAGTGGTATCTGAAAGATCCTGACCTCCTTTACAGGCTCCTTGCAGGAGTCTTGGTTCATTAAACTCCACTGAAAAGCCTAAACAACCTTTTTCCTGGTTTGCTATTTAAATTAGGCCACTATTCCTTCCAGATACCAGACTCCCCAGTGGATCTGGGAAAAGCTGCTGTGCAGAAAGCTGCAGCGATAATGAGCAGAAATGATTTGAAAGTAAGTTAATTGGCAAACTTAACCTATATTCTTTTTAATGCTCAGACATCTTTTTCACCTGCAGAAATGCATTTAGTGGCTTGACAGTCTCAAGGAAGCTTGGTTATAATTGTCACTTTACAGAAGGAACTTTCAGCATCTGATGGAAAATGCAAGCTGAAATGTGGTTTGCCTGCAAAAGCTTCTGTAACCCTGTGGATTTTATGTGGTTTTATCACATGATGCTTGCCTAGCCTAGGACATTGTTGTTTGTGTCAGAGATAAAATGCAATTCTAGTTCACGAGTTCCTGCTGCAGTCATATGATGATCATTCACATGTTCCAGCCATTGTGCACTGTGCCCAAGCCACAGACACTCACCATTAGCAAATCGACACGTTGCGTGAAGTCAACGTCCTCGCCGCGATGTGGTAAGGAGAGGATGCAACCAGGGGAGGCTGCTGTGCC